ATGCAGGTAAGTAATCAATAAAAAAGATACAACATGAAGCACAAAGATGGAAAACCATATCCACCAAATAAAAATTCAAAGAAAATTCAAGTGACACTAATAGTTGTGGTGCTCTGTGGGTTTTCATTCTATCTTGGAGGAATTTTTTGTTCTGAAAAGGAGACATATGCAACTAAGGAGGTTAACAGGGAGGATGAAACTCCCATAGGGAATTCAGCTGGCTCTCTACAAACCAGAGGCAATTCCTTTACTGAATGCAGTGCTGACTATCAGGACTATACCCCATGCACAGATCCGAGGGTATTTGACTATTTTCTCTTGACTAATCTAGTTCTTGTTAACTGTAATCGACCATGGTGAATGATATGTTGTTGATATTGCAGAGATGGAAGAAGTACGGTCTTCATCGCCTTACTTTCATGGAACGACATTGCCCTCCTAATTTTGAAAGGAAGGAATGCTTGGTTCCTCCACCAGATGGCTATAAGGTGCCAATAAGATGGCCAAAGAGCAAAAATGAATGTTGGTACAGGTAATACTTATGTTCAGTATCTTTGTTTGTCTATGGTTTGTTGTTGGATTTGTTCCTAGCATTGTTTTTTTTACTAATTTTGCTGTTCCAATCTGGCTTCAGGAATGTTCCATATGATTGGATTAACAAACAAAAATCCAATCAACATTGGCTCGTAAAAGAAGGGGAGAAGTTTATCTTTCCTGGTGGTGGTACTATGTTCCCAAATGGTGTTGGGAAATATGTTGATCTGATGGAAGATTTGATTCCACAAATGAAAGATGGCACCGTCCGAACTGCCATTGATACTGGTTGTGGGGTGAGTGCATCGCCACTCAATCTAAAGTGTTATTAATGCATAAATATCTAAACTGCATCTCCTAATGGATATATGAGCACCAACTAATACTCGATCAGTTAAAATGAGGGAGGATTCCACATCCATAGCCATGCTTGCTTTCCATTATGCTTTTGTTATAAGATATTCACTTGATTCATATCTTCATGTTCAGCTATCTTTGAGCATAAGGTTATAACCACTATGCTAACTATGTATTTGCTGAATCCTGCACAGCCACTAGCTTATCATTATTGTTTGTAATATCACATCTTCTTGTCAAATTACTTAATTACAAAATTTTATATTATCTGATGTCTCCCCTGTGGAATTTTGTTGAGATATATAATCTGGAATTCGATTCTTTGAGGTACCACGTGATTGATTGGTTGTTATATAACTAGAAATTCTACTTAATTTATGCTTTTTCTTCTTAATGTAGGTGGCAAGCTGGGGAGGCGATCTACTAGATCGTGGAATTCTGACAGTCTCTCTTGCTCCAAGAGATAATCACGAAGCTCAAGTTCAGTTTGCTCTGGAACGTGGAATTCCTGCAGTTCTGGGCATTATTTCGACACAGCGTCTTCCTTTCCCTTCAAACTCTTTTGACATGGCTCATTGCTCAAGATGCCTAATTCCATGGACTGAATTTGGTAAGCAACATAGTTAGGAAAAAGGTTATTATGCTTGTCTTGATTGATGCAGAGTGTGATCCCCAATTCTGCAATAAGACTAGAAAATGGAAATGCTTTATTAGGCTGCTTTCTAATCAGTCCTCACTGTTGGCAGGTGGAGTTTACCTTCTTGAAGTACATCGTATACTGCGTCCTGGAGGTTTCTGGGTCCTTTCTGGCCCACCAGTGAACTATGAGAACCGTTGGAGAGGATGGAACACCACCATTGAGGAGCAGAGATCAGATTACGAGAAGTTGCAAGATTTGCTAACTTCGATGTGCTTCAAATTATTTAACAAGAAGGATGACATTGCCGTGTGGCAGAAGTTGACAGACAATAGCTGCTATAAGAAACTTGATAACCTTGATAACTACCCACCAAAATGTGATGATGGTACTGAACCTGATTCCGCGTGGTACACTCCTCTCCGACCTTGTGTAGTTGTGCCTCCAGCTACTAGGAAAGTTAAGTTGAATGCCCTAGCCAAATGGCCAGAAAGGTTGCATGTCGCCCCAGAACGTGTTTCTGATATTCGTGGAGGTAGCGAGGGTGCCTTCAAGCATGACGATAGTAAGTGGAAGGTGCGAGCAAAGCACTATAAGAAGTTGCTCCCTGCTATTGGAACTGAAAAGGTCAGGAATGTGATGGACATGAACACCTTGTACGGAGGTTTCGCTGCTGCTCTGGTTGAGGATCCACTTTGGGTCATGAATGTGGTCTCCTCTTATGCTGCCAATACACTCCCCGTGGTCTACGACAGAGGTCTTATCGGAATGTTTCATGACTGGTAATATTTATTTACCCTAAACTGCAGAGTTGATTCATTTCTAAGTTATGTGTTATCCACTTTTTAGTTAACCATCTTTATTTGTCGTTCTATAGGTGTGAGGCCTTTTCAACCTATCCTCGAACGTATGATCTCCTTCATGTTGACAATCTCTTCACTGCTGAAAGTCATAGGTAATTACATTTTCGCCTTTAAAGCTTAACCCCACCCCATCGTTTAGTAAGTAACGTTCTCATTTCTAAGGAAACTAAAGAGACTACCCTGACATTAGTTATGTGCATCTTACAGATGTGAAATGAAGTATGTTATGCTAGAAATGGATCGTATTTTGCGACCCAATGGATATGCAATTATCCGAGAATCCAGTTACTTCATAGATGTCCTTGCCCCTATGGCTAAGGGCATGAGATGGAGCTGTCGCAAAGAAGACACAGAGTCTAGCGGACAGAACGAGAAGATACTGATTTGCCAAAAGAAGCTTTGGTATTCAAAGGAGAGTTCATTATAAACATGATGAACTATATACAAAGTTGTGATTATATCTCTTTGGATAAGAGGAGTCCATATATTTACAATACCACCAACCCATAGGAGAAAAACTCCAGAGCTCAAAAGAGTATTTATTTGTTTCTATAGATTATGAGAAATTGAGATTTTGATTTTGAAGAAATTTAGTCCAAAAAAATAACAACAATGTTTTGTGCTAGTAGTCTCTTAGTTTCATTTCATGCTATAATATTCTTTGTAATTTTCTTTCATGTATCTTCTTAGAGTTGTTGAAAAAGTAACAAACATTACATCCTCCTTTTTTATGTATCTAATTGATTGTCAATTTCTCATGAATGAAATGGTCAACATTCAAACATTTCTTTTATTGTTGGAGGTTTGAAGTTGAACTACAAATGGGTGGGGCTTACCTTGAAGCAGATTCCAATGTCATAGCTTTTGCCTTCCCCGCTTGCTCTGTTTTTTTTTAATTCGGAACCCAATTTCACTCATCCTGAGCAATCTCATCCGGTTTAGCAGTGTCCAGATCTGGCATCTTTGCCTCTTCTTGTTGGTTCGACTTTTAAGGTTCTTTACACTGAACTCGTACTCTCGAAATTATGAGTTTGTATTTTATCTTCGTTTGGAATTTTAGTGACTTTTTATATCTATATTTGTTATTCAGTGTCAAACATATTGTGTTTATGAATGAAAACGTGATATTTTGACAATACAACAAAGTTTATGAGTTATCAAACATCGATTTGTCATGATTTGCATGCTAATATTTTGAAATGTAGTTTTTTCTCCTTTTTATTTGCAGCTTCAAAATTACGATCATCCAATATAATTTGTGAATAATTCAACAAGATAACTTGATTGAATATAGAAAAGTCATATCGATCTGTCATGACTTGCATGAAACAGTGGCCAATGTCGCTTTACTATCTCTATCACGCAACTTTAAAATTATTATTTCAGAATTTTTTAATTAAAATTTTAAAAAGCTATTTTTTGTACAAATACTAAATCTGAAGAACAATGTTAAATAGTACTCCTAGCTCAATTGTATTCATTTTGTGCAAATCACCTTAGTTTGATGAGACTTGACTCTTGAGACCCCGAAGTAATATAACTTGTTATTCCATTTATAACATATAACTTGTGAATATTATGCACAAATATGAAAAATTATTTGTTATTTTGATGTTAGTAATATTTTTGATCGTTTAATTATTATTTTAAATACTGAAGTACAAAATTAAAGACTACATATTTGTGAGACACCACCCCTAGTTTTGGGCCAGCTCTTTGTTTGTTGGGCTAGCCCACTCAGAAAAGGCAGTTGTAGGCTAATAGACATGAACCGGATCGAATTAATTCCGTTCTTCGATTTGATTTTGGCATTTTTTTCAAACTTTTATTTTTTTTATTCGATGTTCAGGGTAAGGTTCACGGTTCTTCAGTGCACCGAAAAACTGATTTTTTTTTATTTTTTACTGATTAAATTTTTAACAAAAATTAAAGTCTAAATTATATTTAACTTTGGTTTAGGTCCATTTTTGTTACTCTCTTTATTCTTTAGTTGCCATAAATTAATTCATAATTTTCAACCAAAAAAACGAAATTGCATTTAATATGAAAATGGCTGCATCTAATTAATGTATGTTTGGTCTATAAACATTTTTTTTTGTAAGTGAACCATATGTAGGTTTGGTCTATAAAAATGTATGTTTTCAGGGAAATTATTTAATTTTTTAAAAAACAAATAAATAGCTTGGTCTTAAAGTATAAGAATTATTCTTATACTTTGATTCTTATAAAAGTATCGTTATAAATATATTGAATTGAAGTTGAAAAAGTTTGAACCAAAAAACAAATTTAGTTCGATATTCGATGCACATTTTTTCAATATCAAAAAACTAAGTCAATATTTTGTAAAATCAATCAAAGAATCGAACTAAGTGGACCAGCTGCCCTTAATGGGATGATGCCCAGTCATTGTTGTTTTTTGCGTCAGCTTATCAACAAAAGGGTTGAAAGGGAACGCATGTGAATAAACTATACTCTCTCCATTTTAATTTATGATATGTCGTTTGATTAAACATAAAATTAAAAATATCAATGTATCATTATATATTTTTGTCAAATAAAAAATATATCATGTATTCTCTTTAGAACTAACTAAAAAAAAATATATCACATAAATTTAAACTGAGAAAATAATTAGTACTAATTAACAACTAGTTGCATTACATATATTGTAGGTATACATACATATTGCCTTACGTTACACAATACACATCATATCCTATACTTCATTATATTATATCGATCGATCGTCGATCGATCGATCACATGAGACAACATGCATTGACATTATCATCGTTAAAGAGGTTACTAACTTTGTCATCACCTCGATGAGTAACATGAAGATTGCCATGTTTGTCCGCAACATTATAACCATGGCGCCAGTAATTGTAACTATCTCTATATTCACTAGTCATGTCTTTGAAGTAGTTATTTGATGTTGTGAAATATAGTGGGGGATTTGGGTATGGCCAAAATTCCGCCCGCTTCCCATGCCTCCGCACTGCTTTTAGCACCCTATTTCGATCCACATATCCCACCACCGTTACTTTCTCCATCTCTAGCTCTACCGATACCGATTCTACTCCTGTATGTATATATATAGTCAGACTTCTTTGTAACAGTCATTTTCCATCTATAACAATCATGTTTCTTTTTTGGGGAAATCGCGGGATCTTTTATGTTATGTTATGTTATTCTCTAGTCTTTATAATTATATTTTGCTAGAGCTGTTAAAAAGAATGTTGAGATAAATCATGTTATTTTCTTTGTCTCAATTTATGTGATGCATTTTGCTTTTGAGTCCGTGTCAAAAAGAATGTCACACCTTTCTAATTAAAAATAACTGAACTTTGAAATTTCTCTTTTATCCTTAATAAAATGAATTATAGATAGCACACAATTGTCTACGATTGTTTTAGACCACAAATTCAAAAGTATTTCTTTATTTCTTAAACTTTATGTCAAGTCAAACGTGTTATATAAATAGGCCACCATGGAGAGAGGATTCTAGAAAGGTTTCACTATAATTAATTACCCTTTCCGTCTCAAATCGTTTATCTTTCCTTTTTAGTCCCTTTAAAAAATGTCTCTTTCCTTTATTTGACAACTCTTTAATTTTAATTTTTTCCACGTGACATATGCTTAACACTCCAAACTTGAAGGACATTTGGTATATACTACATGTCTTTAGTTTAAGGCCACAAACTTAAATGCCTTCTTTGCTTTCTTAAACTTCATATCCAATCAAAACCAGACAATCAAATAGAAACGGAGTGAGCGTTAGTTATCATGAGCTACATCCATCTATCCATCGATGATCATTTTTATTTAATTGTACCTCTAAGCTTGTAGACAGCATCTTTAATAACTCTCTCACATCCACTACAACACATCCTTACTTTGAGTTCCACAGTCTGTACGTAACAAAATTAACAAAAATCAAGAATACATAAATAAAACATCTATATATTGTGATTTATATGAAATTAAAGCTAAAAAAATTTTAAAAAATTGATTTAAAACCTGTAAAGAAAGTGGTCTAGTAGCCTTAGTCATTTTGTGTTTGTTGGTGCCTTGTTGATGATGAGGATGATGATATTGAAAAACACAATAACTAGTTATGGCTGAGACAAAAGAGCCAAATAATTTCTCTAGTACGTTAACCATTTTTGTGAATATGTATATATGTAGTTTGAATATATAATATCTAGGTAGCAAAATTATACAAACTTATAAGGAGAAGGGAGAGGAAGAAAATATAGTTTTATAGTTATTAGGAAGCTTGGTTTTATCACCATTTATAATATAAAAAATATTCCTCCAACACAGCAAGGCATATTTTTTTTCTTAAGTTCCAATCTCATGGCAAATAGATTCTAGTAAACCAACAAATTACACTCCTAGTTTGTAATTTAATAGTATTTCAAATTAATTAATTAATTGCCTCCACTTTCTCATTCATGCATAGATTATAAATACATTATCTGTTTTTTATCCTTTTAGAAAAAAGAATAAAAATAAAATAGTAAAAGTATATATCCCATTAGGAAGGCATAATGGTATCAATTTGACTACAATCAAATCTCTCTATAACAGTATTTTACAATAGCATTCATGTTTTCTTGGAAACGATCTTTCATGTTATGTTAGTATTTTGTTATAATAGTAAAAAAATTATTGAACAAACGATGTTGTTACAGAAAGGTCAGATTGAATTGATGAAATATAATTAATTTTGGTGGATGAAAACCTGAAAAGTGGATTAAGCCTATATGGCTATAAGCTGCTGACAGTACTAAAATAATTTTAAAGGAGATGAGGGAATATAAGGAGATGGATGGGCTTAAACAAACACAAATTGACATGTTTTGATGCAAAGCATAACCAAATATTCTCTAAATATCTCCTTTCTTAGGGGGTGAAGAAAGGAACTCTCTGTCACCATCTTCTTTTAATAAAACTTCCGTACGAAACACACTGGCGAAATCATGATTTTCACTCAGAAGTTCAAAATATAAAAAAATAAACACATACAGAAGAAAAGATAATTTAATGTCTACTATATATATAACGTAATTATAATCTTATATATACAGTGCAATTTTCTGACTCCGCATGTTACCAAATATATTCATATACAGTATATCCATCATCAAACATGTTTTGAAGTATCACTATGGAAGCATCACCTGATATTTTCTAGTTTCTACCATTGGGCTAAGGAATTAGAATTAGCTACAAACTTAATTCGTTTCTAAATTGCTCATAATTAATTTTTTTAAAAAGAAGATAATTATTGCTAAATAAGATTAGTAAAAGAATTGTTTTGTTTAGCCACAGAATTTATCTATGTTAATATTTATATTTTAAGTAATGTTAAAAAAGTAACATGATTTTGAAAAATTAAATCACAGAATAGATTTTATGAAGATTCGACCGCATTTGTATGCCCATTTTCTGCAAAGCATCATATAATTTCTAATTAAACTATTGCATGCATCTTTTAGACGAATATTTTAATGATCTTTAAATTTGAGGTGACACATTTTATTTATTTATTTATTTTAGATTTTATACCAATCTCATAGTATTAAGAGTTAATTACATTCTTGTAACGATTGGGTTCCGTCGTTATAGAAAATCCAACGGGGAAATTTTTGGGTCGGAAAACTTTTTCGTAGTAATTTGGAATTTTCCAACCTAGTCCAGATTTGGATGAAATCGGAGTGATTGAAGTCTAGAGAAATCCGGTAGCAATTGGGTGATTTGTTTATGATTTTGATTACATGAGTAGTTAGATGAGTCGTTAAGAAATTCGTACGACTTTACGGAATTGAATTCAGGTGAGTAGAACTTTCGGAATCGATCTTAGCGTGAGCGGTACTTTCTGAGCGTCGTTGGTTAAAGGTGTTTTGTGAAATGGGAGTTCTGGAATTATTAAAATAGCTCACTGTTTCGTGCAACCCGCTTTGACTGGGACGCTGTAGCAGGGTGAGGGCCGCTGTGGCGGGCCAGACGCGACTTAAAGTCATAAATAAACCGCAAAAATATTTTATTCTGCAATTTCCGAATTTGAGAGCTAGGAGACGACCCCATAAGAGTTCTTGACCATTTTCACCATTCTTGAGGCTAAAGGTAAGGTTTTAACTCCCCGAATCCATTTTTCAATTCGTAGAACGTAATCTAATAGGTAAATATCGATGGGGAGGATTTTGATCTAGAATCTATGATGGAAACATCCCTAAATTGGATAATTGGGATCATGGGTTGATCTAGGGTTTGTTAGAATTGTTAGTAATCAGGGTAATTACTGATTGTTTATTGATTCCCGTATTATATTGATTGTTTGTAGACCAAGAACAAGCGGAACGAATTCGAAAAGGGAAGGATCAAGTTTCTTAGGGTTTCAAGCTTGTTTCGAGGCAGGTGATGGTTGTGATTCTATGATTGTGTGATGTATGTTTGTTCTTGCTTCATTATGATACATGTATGTATGCGAATGTTGCATTATTAATCACACTTGTTGTAAATGAGATTGATGAATAACTATATGCCATGAATCACTTCTTGATCGTATGATTAATGAGAATGTACTTATGATTGTGATTGTGGTGTGTTGAAAGGATAGGTTGCCACGTTTCGGCATACTAACTTGGATCGATTGCCACGTTCCGGCATAATTATGAGATCGGTTGCCACGTTTCGGCATAAACATTGGATCGAGTACCACATTTCGGTATGCTAACAGTTTTGGTTTGGGTTCCACGAGAGGACCAATGACTTGTTATAAATGTATGTTGTTGAGCATGTGATAATCGATATTGTATATGTTCGGTATGTTGCATGTTTATAATGTTGTATTGACTTGCTTATGTTACACTTAGTGGGATAGCCGCATGATCCTACCAGTACACTATAGTTGTGTACTGATACTGCACTTGCTCTATTTTTGTTGAGTACAGGGCATCTTCAGGCAGCTATTGACAGACCTCGTTTAGAAGATCAGTGATCATCGTTCGAATTCTAGGTGAGCCAGTTCTTCCAAGCTGCCATGAGTTCTCATTTCGTCTATGTCCACATTTCAGACTTAGACTTTCTAGTTAATTGATTTGTTCATTAGTTTGGGGTTATGATCCTTCTTGTTTAGACTTGTTGAACTTTAGATGTTTGGTACATTGACTTTCAGGTTCTAGGTGTATTTTCTGCATTGTTAGTTGTTAGATCTTTTGGAAGTTTATGGGAACTTCAGTTTTGGCTATTATTCTTGTTTCCATATCCTTAAATGCTTTAGTTTTGGTTTAGTTGCTTGGTATGGTTTGTAGTAGTGGTTCTCCCACCGGAGGGTTAGTGTGGGTGCTAATCACGACGGTCTGGGTCGTGACAAAGTTGGTATCAGAGCCTAGATTCGTTGATCTTGATGTACCAAAATGAGTCTCTTTGTGCCAAAATGACAAAGAGTCTTGCGGAATAGTGCGGAGATGCCTTACTTTTCTTCGAGAGGCTATAGGACTTTAGGAAATCTCTCTGTTTTCTCTTGTCTCCTTTCGTGCTATGACTTGATTCCAATTGGTATCTGGCTATTCAAATTGGTATCTAACTTCCTTCACTCTTTTGTCCGCAGATAGTTAACACTAGATTCAACGGCGTCAGGATCGTAGCTTCCGTCAATGCTCCAGCTGAGAAATCTACAGCGAGAGGTCATAGTCGAGGTAGGGGTATAGGTCGAGGAAAGTGGCACCTGCTATAGATGGGGTACTGGTAGAAAATGTTCCCCAAAATGAAGGGGCTCATTTGCATCATGAAGAGATAGAAGAGGATATTGAGGTTGAAAATGTTGAGGAGGTTGGACAAGAGGAAGAGGTGCAGGCTGAGACTACTGATGTTCCTCCCATAGACTCAGTGTTAACTCGACAGATCATGTCATTCCTGAAAGGGTTGGTTGGTCCTGGAGTGCTTCATTCTGCTCAAGCAACTCAAGCTCCTGCCAACCCCCTTGTTGCTAGCATTACACCCAAGGTGGGTGGGACTGGAGGTAATGATGCTTTCTTCCATCCTTTGTTGGGTTATGTTATGACTGGTAATGAGCATGAAATGTTGACTAAGTTTTTGAAGCTAAAGCCTCCTGTACTTTTTAGTTCTGAGAGTGAGGATGCTTATGAGTTTATCTTAGACTGCTATGAGATGCTTCATAAGTTGGGAATTGTCCATCAGCATGGGTTGAGTTCGTGACTTTTCAACTTCAAGGTGAGGCCAAACAGTGGTGGAAAACGTATATGGAATGCAGATCTTCTACTTTATCTCCATTTATTTGGACCCAATTTCATGCTCTGTTTCTAGAGAAGTATATGCTTAGGACTTTGAGGGATCGCAAGAAGGATGAGCTCATGGCTTTGGAGCAAGGTGGTATGTCTGTGGCTGCTTATAAGGCCAAGTTTCATGCTTTGTCTAGATATGTTACCCAATTGGTGACTACTGAGGAGGAGAGGATCCAATTATTTATTAGGGGGCTAAATTCTGAGTTGCAAGTATTATCTGTTCATATGATTTCTGCAGGGGGAGCTTTAATGAGGTAGCTGACTATGTTAAGAAAGTAGAAGGGGTGAGGCGAGACGGTCAGGCTAAGGCATTGGCTAATAGGGCCAAGAACTCAGGTAACTTTCAAGGTTTTTATTCCAGAGGTTCAGGAAGGCCAACGCTTGCAGCCAAGCCAATTTAGTCCGTTATGCCCGTCTCTACAGGTAATTACTCGAGAACTCCACCTCATAATTTGATTCAGGATAGCCAGGGAGTCGCACCTTCGGCGGGCAACAAACCATCTTTTGATCGTACATGTTACAACTGTGGAGAGCCTGGGCATATGAGGAGAGATTGTCCCTACCCACGTGTGTTTGAATCTGCGCAGCAACAGACCAGAGCAGTGGTACCCGTGGGAAATAATAATAATGGTCGAGGGCATCCATAAGGTGGGCGAGTAGGTAATCAGCGAGGTCGTGGAGGTAGAGGAAATGGTAACACAGGCAGAGGTAATGTGAAATCGGGCAGGGAAGTGGTTCGTTAAGATGATATGGCTCAATGTTATGCCTTTCTAGGAAATAATGAGGCAGAGACGTTTGACACAGTGATCACGGGTACTATTCTTGTCTGTGACCGGATGGTTAATGTGTTATTTGATCCGGGTTCTACCTATTTTTATGTATCTGTGCGATTTGCCTTAGAGTTTGATATGATTTGTGATGTACTTAATTCCCCTATCCATGTTTC